AAGTCAGAATCAACTCAATGGCAAATGGATAACTATATAAGCAAAGAAAATGGAAAAAATAATGATACGATAGGAATAAAGAGAAAAATGAAGAAAAAAAGGGTTGTGTCAAATGAGAAACTTTATCTGACACAAAAAATTGCATTTAAAGAAGAAAATAAAACAATTCTAAAACTTAAGGTGGGAGAAAGCTAAGAAAACTATCTATGGTGGCTCAATTTCTTCTTCAACCTGGGAGCCCTAGGACATATACTCCTATGTCCATGCAATAGCTGCGAAATTTTCTCATTTCATGTTTTCATTCTGATGACAATCTAAAATTATTTAATGCATGCACATTCTGAATCATATGGATGACCATCATAGAGATAACTTACTGCCATTTGATTTCTATGTTAGAGGTTAGTATTATTTTAATTCCGTTGACAACAAGGCTTGAGAGAGAAAGTTTTCTGTAAGTTCAAGTGAAGAAAAATGATGGGGGGAGACTTAAACTATCTTCACACAGCTAACAGTAGTACACGCTGAACCCTGTGAAACCGGGGCTCAGTACATGGTAAGCAGCAATTTCATTACAGCCAAACAACATCACATGGTGTGTTAATTTAAATTTTATTGATCTGGTAGCTTTGTTTATATTTAATTAGTAAATCTGTTCTCATTTTATAGGTCCTAATGAAACTAAAAATCATCAGCACTGAAAAGGAATCCAGTGACATATAGTAAACTGGCTGCTTTTCATAGGGGCCATTACACAAGTTAATGTTCCCCATTGTTTACATAATAAATAAGGCTACAAAATGTGCATTAAAAACATTATTCATGTACTGATTTTGTTTTTCAAAAATTCCACTGACAGATTAAAGTTAAGTCCATACAGGTACTTTCTAAAATGTGTCTCTGAAGTTAGCTCGAGAACAAAGTTTTTACAGGTTTGAACCTAAATGAGAAAAAACGTAGGGCTTCATTTTCCTATAAAGCTAAATTCATTAAATTTGAAGGATTCGCCTTTTTTATGAGATTATGACTTTACTATTGGAGAATTAAATTTTCCCTTTTTTGTGAAATGGTGCTGCTGTACTGCCTTCTTGTATACTTTTTAATTTTTTACCACAAAAAAAGTTAGCCTTTTATGGACATAACCAACAATTCACATCAAATTAAAACAAAGACCAAGCCATAGGGTAACTGAGGGTTTGAATTCCTCAATAAGGCGAAAGTAAAGATTGAATCAAAATCCTTCTAAAGGTCATTGTAATTTGTAGTATCTAAACAAGCTTTAGTTAACATAATAAAACGTATGGGTTCTCATTTCAGACTATAAACTCAAGGCATGCGTAACCAATCCTTTTTATTTTTTCTTCATAAAATATCAAGTTAAAGAACCTTTTAAAGATATTACTACAAATATGCTCAGCAGACCTTTTCTAAGTACTGCAGTCAAGATTCTGGGACCCACAGTGGGCAAAGCAAGCACGGTCAGTAGTAAGCTGTTGTTTTAACAAGATTTATTTCTGTCTAGGTGTGTTACAGTTTAAACAAACACAGCTACTATTTCAGTGACTAAAATAATTTTAACGGCTCCTTTTATTAAAGCGGAGACAATCTGACCTTTCATAACATTATTCTCAAGGTTCTAAAGTTATTCACTTTTTCTATTTGCAGCGTTTCTCTATTCAAAATTCATATGATGCCGAAAAGAACACACATGGAGAATATTATTCAATCAGGTATTTCTAAATACAGGAAAACGCTGGATCTCACATTGTAAGAGACTAGAACGGTAAATAACTTATGTTTACGGCCTCTTGGGCGGAAGACCCCCCAGCATCTCTTAAAATCATCAGCACCTAGCACATGCGTTTGCTGACTGATAAAAAATAACTGCGAAACGAATGTGTTAAGTGTGGCCAATAAAAACAAGCAATGCTTTTTCTGTCCTAGTAAATACTTGAGGCAAAGAAAAGAGAATAACGTTTTTAAAAAAGATCACAAAGAAACAAACCTGTCCTTTTTATTTTCTCTTCAAAATATTAAGCTGTACGGTGGTGGGGATACGTGTTAACAAATCCCATGCCTTAAATGTCAAAAAGGTAAATTTTACTTCAAAAAACAGGAACGTAAATTGTAAAGTGACTTGTGTTTAACTTTTCTCTCATGATTTCAATTTTAGGACATTACATGGTAATTTGTTACAATTTCTTTTTTAAAACATCACACAAAAGAAGAAAAAATTATCAATTCTCATTGCTAAAATATAGCCTGCTAATATTTTACCCATAATATACTATGAAAATCAACATAGAGTACTAAACAAGAATATAATCAAGAACTTATAAATGCTAATACTAACATTCCATTATAAAAGTAACAGTATCTGGGAGGAAGATGGTCAAGAATATGTGACTGAACAGACAATTTACTGTTCGTCTCTTGTAGACTGGTGTAGAGGCTAGCCCAGCATCAGAGCAGGCCTGAGAGGGCCCCGCTGGCTTCCTGGATCACCCTGTAAGACCCAAGTCCAATCACTTAACATCTCTAGGCCTCTGTTTCTTCATTGACAAAATGGGAGAGTGACACAATTATCTACAAACTCCTCTTTAGCTCTAAAACAAAATCTACTATCCTCAAGAGCTATTAGTCTAAATAAATAGGGTTGCCTAATTAAGGTACAATTATTTTCCCAGTCTTACACTAAACACTTTATAAGTTTCTAACTCCTACAGACAGATTCTTTTTCTCTCATTTTATCTTTAGAAAAAAACTCTGTAGGTAGGTTGAGTTTGTAATTATCATGCACATTCGGCAAATGCCAAAGGGGAGTTGGGGGCTCCATGAGGTTACGTGATTTGATTAAAGTCATTCAGTCAACTAAAATCTAGTAATCAGATCTTCTGACTCCCAACAGTGTTCAAAAGAAGTTTCCAGAAAAAGTCACTTTTAAATCCACAAGACCTACAGAATAAATCATACACCTGTTAGAAAGAAATCATGGTTTTATTTAAAGTGGATACACTTTCTATAAATTACTATATCTTATGTCTTAAATCCCCTACGATAACACAATTTTTGGCCTGAATGTCTCAAGATTATTTCCAAGATTCCTTGAGTACGAAAATCCACGTTATCAAAATACTACCATATATCAGAGTTTCCTAAATTGATCTATTATTGTCGTTGTTGGGTGCCTTCAATGTCGATTCCGACTCCCAGTGATCCCATGTGACAGAGTAGAACTGCCCCACAGGGTTTTCCTGGCTCTAATCTTTAAGGAAGCAGATCACCACTGGGTGGGTTCTAATCACCAACCTTTCAGTTAATAGCCGACCACTTAATACTTCACACCAATAGGGCTCCTTAAGAAACTGAGAGGGGACGTCAAATGAAAGTGTACACCTTTGTACACAATTATCGAAGACAGGTAATATAGGAGAAATGTTCATCAGAGAAGTAAGATCTGAACCAGACTTATGCTATTATCTCTGTCCTATAGGGTCGCTATGAGTGGGAATCAACTCCATAGCTGTGGGTATGCTATTATAGGAACTGACGCCTAAAAATCAGAACCAAGCCTTTATAGTTAAAGGGAAAAGGAAATCACTTAATTGCTGAGCCCCAGTTAACCTAAGAGCAATATGGCAAAAACTTTAAGTGTGGTTTTAGCACTATTTATATAATAGAAAACTCTGAGGCAAAGGCTAATTAGCTAATCTGAGTTTACCTTGTGTTCACAGTTTTCTAACACTAGATGAATTTATTTAAATCTCAAAGGAATTAGACAACATTTCTAACTCTTCCTCCAGACAACTATGAGTTCTCTAAAGCAAATTAGCCAAACACATTTCCTTTTCACTTCCATTTAATAATGACTCGCTAGTCCAAAAATAATTTCAAATAGTTTTGAAAATGTAAGGCAGCTTAAAAACTCGAGCTGTTTTTAGTAATGGTATTTCAGAAGTGGTATAACTTACCACTTGAGGCAAAGAGGTATGACTTGTCACTGGTAATAGTGGTAACATGGGAGACAGAAAAGGGCTATTTTGAGAAAATAAGAGATTAAGGGTTGCAGTCTCAAGCCTCATCCTTCCCTTCACATATATGAAATTTAATACTTATGTAATTCACAAGTAAAATTTCTGTTTTAAAATGAAAGAAATTATAGCAGAATAAATTATATATTGGTTATTAAAGGTACACCAAAAAATTTTTTAAGAACAGAAGCAGGAGTGTTGGCTGAAGATTTTAGATATTTCAGTTACTTCCTAATGCTTAAATGTCTACCCAAGTTTACACAAGTCTCTCTCTCTCTCTCTCAGTAACAACCATTTTAGAATTAAAGGTAATACCGTTAACCAGGCCATGAACTGTTCACAGATACAGCATAAATTCTAAAGCCACTTCCTCATCCACAAATATATGAACAAGTCATATTTTAAAATAAAGTACAGAATACCACAAAAAGACTCACAAAAAGGTATCAAAGTATAGTATGCTTCACCAACCTATAGTTAACCTATTTCCAGCTATGGAGTAAAATTATATAAAGCCAATTTTGTGCAAATGAGTTTAGACTCTAAGTGCTATTTTAAGGGATAATACAAGTCTAAAACCACTTAGGAAAATAACAAACAGCACTTTTTTGGAAGGTCACATTAAAAAGATGAGACTACCTAAACTTCATGACATAATAAGCCTCTAGGACGGAAATGACTGAAGAAATAACTCTGTAGACTGTTAAGCTGGAACAAAAACCCTGAAACATTTATTCATCTTCAGTTCAAGTAAGACATTTGAAGTGAGGGTTTTGAAATGTCCTTTAAATATGGAACTAAGCAGCATTCATTTCCTAAATGTAAAACAGAATTGAGAACAATAAGTCTAATGGAAGAGTCAGACATTTAAGCATTCTGCAACTGTTTTTCATCAATAGCTAGGCTTATTTATTTGCTCTATTAAAATTTTACTGTTATATGTATGAAGAAGACTTTTGTCTTTCTCACCTGTGTTAGCAGCGTGTCTTATAACTTGGAGAATTTAACCATTTCCCACTAATGTGTTCTCCTAAGGCAGACTACAAAAGTGCAGCTCTGGTCTGTTATCAACGCTTTCCAGAGGACATTTCTCCCCAGTTTTCATTCATTTTATCTAAAGGGAGGGCAGAAATGATAAACACCAAAATGAACTGACACTATTCACGCCTACAAATCTGAGTCTTTTCATTTATTTGAATGCCCTAAACCTCGCATATGTTCAATAAAATACTGGAAGGTAAAGAAGTTTTTGGAGTGCTAAAAAGGACAACACGTTGTGTCTTATAATCACTTCTTGATTATATTTTATAGAAATGTTGTAAGATAGCTGACACTGATTATACCAAGTTGATCATCTAGCTTGTTGATGATACAAAAGTCCTTCCATCTTTGATTTCTTCCTCTTTTATTTTGGCTATTTCTTTGTCCATTCAACACCTCAAAGGAAAAGAAATGGTTGAGAAAATGAGGAAAAATTCCAATATATAAATTTCATTCCCAGTAAAAGCACTTAAGAAAACAAAACAAAGAGATAAACTTCTTAGAGACCTAAAAGAAAATACACTAAAAGTCGTTGTGTCAGGATGATGACACCATTTATAACGTAACCATATTATCAAGTCAGATTTAATACTAAGGAGCCCTGTGGCACAGTGGTTAAGGGCCTGGTTGCTCACCAAAAGGTTGGCAGTTCGAGCCTACAAGCTGCTCCTTGAAAAAAAGATGTGGCAGTCTGCTTCTGCAAAGATTTACAGCCTTGGAAACCCTATGGGGCAATTCTACTCTGTCCTATAAGGTCACTATGAGTTGGAATCGACTCGATGGCAATGGTTTTTTTTTTTTTTATTTAATACTAAAACAATTTTAACTGTCTTGGGTCTATAATATATAAGACAAAAGGAAGTTGTCTCTATAACTTGATAATGTAAACAAGTATAAAAATATCTTGTAATTATTCACTCCTTCACTGCCTGTGTGAAAGAGGGAAAAGGAATAAGGGAAAAGAAAGTCCCGAGTACACACTCATAAACCAAAACCACAAGAAAAATAATCTAAAACCAGAATATAGAAGGCAAGAGAAAAGGACAATTCTCTGCGTAAGAACTGATTTTGCAACACTAATAGGGCAAACCCACATTCTTGCCACAAGCCGCATGCAAAGCCTAGTGCTTTTAGACAGGCCACACGCTGGCTTTCTTGAAAGCTTTCCAGATAGGAACCCAGACAGTAAGAGAAATCAGTAGGTCTCTGAACTGAAGTGAGCCCTAGTCTGATTCTGATGAAACACTGTTCTGCTGGAGTATAATATTACAGTAGTAAGAAACTAAGTTAAATGGATGATTACAACTTTTATTTTAAAATCCTAAAGAAAAATTGTTTAACTGTGACCCACTGGGTCTCTAGTTAATGAGGAAGTGTCCAAAGTACTGAAGTGCACGCTTTCTAGGGAGAGTCACCCACAGGATGTACAATATAGGGAGAATGCTGCACCACCGTCAGAAACATCTAGACGGTATACCTGGAGTAAAATTTGCTGTTGATAAACTATGAGTGAATATCAAGAGTCTAGCTTCCACTCGAAGTCAAAGTATCATGGTTCAAAAAAAGCCTTATTAGATTTGGAAAGACTAAGCTTGGTTTACAACGGTTCAGGAGTTCTTTAATGAGATGTTTTAAAGGCACCAAGTTTTCACCAAGCCCTAGGAGTGTCCTCTATGAAACTATCTTAACCATCTACAAGAAGCCAGATACCTTCCTACACAAATCTCAAATACTCAACTCCTTAATCTCAGTCCTCACAGAATTCTCTAAAGCAGCACTCTGGTTTTGTTTTCATATCATTCAAAAATTACTCATCCATGGAAATCTGAGTAAGTACCTGAAGAGCTGGCTGAGCTACATCTGTTTTCTTTCTTACAGAGGAAGTAGTCTTACAAAGATGATCTTCACCAAACAGGAAGCAAAACAGCATTCCTGCCTATAAAATTGGAAATTTTCTATTGTCACGGGAATGCTTTCTTTGGGTTTTTTTGTTGTTGTTAGCGTATACTTGATAAATTAGATTCCTAGGTAATCCTTTCCTATGTTTTTGGCAAAATAACCAAGTGAATAAAACTATCTACAAACTGCCTATAAGCTATTTATTTATTTCATCACATCATCCGAATATAGTACTATAAGAACCATGTTTGCCACTAAATCCAGATACACTAATAACCAATGGCTCAAAATTTTTGGATCTGTTCTTAATGAAATATGCTTCTTTCAAAAACACCACTATGCCTCTAGGTCTTAGCCAAGACTACTAATATGAATTCATTCTTATACAGTAAGTCCCTGGGTTACGAATGAACATCTGATTTATGGACAACTCATACTTGTCCCTTAATGTTATGTAAATTTGTCCACACTTTGAAATAACTGAACCAACTCCTACTCGCAACAAATTCTTCATCACAATCACCTTCACTTGCTGCATGTGCAGCTTTCAAATCACTGAAAAGGCTTTGAGCCTCTTTTTGCACTAAAACTGGTTGCCATCGAGTTGATTCCAACTCATAGCGACCCTAGAGGACAGAGTAGAACTGCCCCACAGGGTTTCCAAGGAGCAGCTGGTGGATATTCCAACTGCTGCTGAGCTCTTAATAAGAACCGCATGCACCTGTTCTGAGTTACCCACAAATTCTTAAGAACACAGTTAGGAACCGATCTCGTTCATAACCCAGGGACTGCCTGTAATAAAGATTCCTTCTCACTTAGAAAGCAGTACTGATTCCAAGTAGGAAAACTGTGGATTTCTATATAAGATACCAATTATTGTAGGATTTTAAGCAATACTATACGAGTAATATGAGCATTTACTAGTATTGTTCAAAACGATAACAGCTGGTTCTAATATTTGGAATTTAAGGACATTTCATCCTCCAATACTCCCATTCTTAGGGCAGTAAAATATAAGTTTTAGAACCCAACAGGCCATAGTTTGAATATTGGCTTCTACCATTACAGTATGTGTGATCTTTGACAAGTTAATTAACCTCTCTCTGCCTTAGTCTGCATCTGTGAAGTTGGAACAATATCCGTCTTGTTGAGTTTTTAAAAGAGTATACGAGAAAACGTATGTAAAAAGGGAAGGGTCTGGCCCATTGCAGGTACGTGATAATGATGATAATTACTATAATTACTACACTGAAGTTGGAGAGATGAGCCAACTAACTTCTACTGAGAGTCACAGAAGTTAAATGCTAAGAACCTTCAGAAATATTTCACAGAATTTTTCCAAAGATTTTTTAGACTTGTACTTCTGGGTTATACAAATCCAGATAGCATCTTCTGCCATACAGGAGTTAGGCTGTGTCATAAGACTCTTCCATCAGGTACTTTCTCAATGTTAGTGAGAGGCAAACAGATATTCCATCACTACTGGGAACACTACCAACCTAGGACTGCCGATTACTGAGTACATACATAAACTACTCAAATTATTTCAACAGCTAGTCAGCGAGTATTTACTGAGTCCACTGGGTACGCTGTGTACTAGAAACAGCACACACACTGACATAATTCCTACCCTCAACGAGTTTACCAACTAAAGGAAACGAACAAAAATAGATTCAAATACATGAAGAAATTTACCAGAAATGTAGAAAAATATTTTCAGGTAAAAAATGGTCGACTAAGAAAATCAGCCACTGAAAACCTGTGGATCACAACAGTCCGAGCCACAGCCAGTCATGGGAACGGCACGCAGGACCAGGTAGCATTTTGTTCCATTGCGCATGAGGTCGCATGAGTCATGAGCCCACATAATGGCAGCTAACAACAACAAAAGATGGTCAAGCAGGGGATTGGTGGATGAGCAATGTTAATTAGGAAAACTTCACTGAGTCGGCTAATTTGGGAAGGTTTTAAGATGGCAGAGAATACGAATGGATGACTAATAGATGAGAGGTATTTACAAACACAAATTTTAATGTGGACATTGACTACAGCAACAATAAGAAAGCACATCAACACAGAATAAAATATTAGTAATTTTCAAAGTGAAAAGCAAAATTATTTGGGGTAGGAAAAGAACAAAAGTAGCAAACTTCAAAAAGGTTACTGATGTTAGGGTGATAACAGCCTATGTGGAAATATAACAAAAATTTAAAAATTTGATACACTAAATCGTTTGCTAATTGCTCAATCAGGGGAAAAAAAAATCATTGCCCAGGATACTTAATTTATTACCAGGATCAAGTTTCTACAAAACAATGGATAAATCAGATTGCTGGTTACATGGTTATAACATTTTTCACTCAATATATTGTCTACCAAACTAACTTTAACCTTTATGTCACTTGCTATAAGCCTATGAGCTTAATTTTCAGATCTTCTGGGATAAAATAAAATTTTAAAGTATAAAAATTAAAATGGGCCAAAAAAAAGAGGGTCCAAAATTTAAAGAATAACCCATACATGTATACACAACTGTTCACAGACTATGCGGCAAGCTAACATAGGATTCTTAAGGCAGTTCTGATCTTCAGTGGGAATGACAATTCTTCCCTGAGCAGTCTGGGGTTCCACTTCCCAGGTCCACACACCCTCCCCCCCATTCCTGGTCCCATATACCACCTGAACTAGCTCTGCAACTATTTTTTTTTCTCTCTCTCTCCAAATCCGTCTTAAACAATAAAGGATTCCATTTTTCAAGACCAACATGTAACTCCAAAAGGATATGCTGAGGTTTATCCTGTCATTTTGTTTTCAAAACCTAGTGCGAAGTTTCATTCATTCATCATTTCATATGAAATTTATTAAGCACTGGGTGCCAGAGCATGTAAAAAAGCTTGTATTAATATTATCTTTATCCTTACAGAATGTACTCTATAGCTCAATAATTTCTAAGTAAAAATTATATCCTTTCTGACTCAGTCTAAGAAAATTTTGCTGTCCATTCAACTTGTTCCATATTGATGTTAGAATAGGTCTTCTATTTCCAAACCTGGCCTCAGATTCGAAGATCTCTAAAATAAAATCAATCCTCTTTTTTTCCTTTAATGAAGTTATTGTTCCCTCTGTTCTTCTTAAATTTTTCTTGTTTAGATTATAAAACAAATAAATGTTCATTGTGGAAGTTATCCAGAAGTAACTTCTGTTAACAGTTTAGTTTATTTCTTTCAGGTGCTTTTCTACACATTATCTTTAAACATAATTTGATGTTAATTCTATATGACAATTTAGTATTTAACTATTTTCCCTTACCATTACTGTTACTGCTCCCCTAAGAAACATGGCATCATTTACCTAACCATCTCTTCCCTGTTAAACAGTATTGTTCCCAAAGTTTCACTGTTTACAGAAGAATGTATGACGGCCATCTTTGCGCATATATATATGTATATATATATAGATAGATAGATATAGATATAGCTATAGATATATAGATACATATATTTCTTTTTTCCCCCATCTGTGTATCTTTGTTCATCTGTATATCTGATTACTTCCTTGAAACAGAGTACGAGGAATGGCCATCCTTGGGTCAAAAGATGTATGATCAATTTTAAAGCTCCTGATATATAAAACCAAAGTGATTTCCAGAACGGTAATACCAATTTACACCACACCAATAGTTCTTGAAAATGCTTCTGTAACTACAACCTAATTAACAAAGGGCAGTCTCTCGTTCACTTTACTAATTTGATAGATAGAAAATGGCATCTCAATGCAAGTTAAGATGGGGCTTAGCTGTCCCCAGAATCTTTGACATGAGTAGCCCATTAACTTGACCTGGCATTCTGGTCTTTCTGGCCAAGGCTTAGTCACCTCATAAATGGAAGGCCATTACCACCAACATTCTAAGCAGCTGACTGCTCTTCCTGGGGCACACCTACCAATCGAATGGCACTGACAGCACAAATGGAAACCAGTGTATACTGCTCCTCACCTCCCCCATAACTGGCAAGGCTATGGTTTAATAGACTTCCACTGAAACTGCTACAGTGTGAAATAATACTTTTCTCAATTCTTCCTAGATGCATATGCTAACTCAATGTAGTACCTACATAGCTCAATGTAGTACTTTTTTCAAAGTAGCCTAACAATAATAATAATAATACAAAACATGAGTCTGGGTATATACGTGTATGTAACAAAGTACTCATGTTCTTACCCTTAATATTTAAGTTTCAGCCACATACATACAAGTCTGTATATATATGCATATAAAGTACACAGACTGCCATCCATATTACTCAAGTTCTCCTGATATACATATGAAAGGATGTAACAATTTCACTGCTATTATTAGTTCAAAATAGTGACAGCAATAAAACTAATATAAACAAAGCCATAGAAAACTGATCCTTCTGTTTTATACACATGTACACACACACAGCCATCTATGATTCCTGGAATTATACACAGAACTTACCATGATTTGAGGGACACGTCTTTTATAAAATTATCTACAAGAAGGCTCACATGAGAAAAACTGATAGCAAGTTTTTATGTTACTTACATACGATGAAACATGAAGATTGTTGGTTATAACCTTCAGTAATCCAATGTTGGGGATTTTAAGCCCAAAATCTAGTGAAATGCCCTTGTCCATTATGCAGATTCAGTCTAATATATAAAACAGACTGGTAGCTCTAACGTATTTTCCCAACCCTCATGATCCAAATGCATAAAAGGTGGAACAGGAAAGGTGATGAGATATTTCGCGTCCAGTAATTTTAGACTTGAAAGTAAGTTTACTGGTGATAGTCCATAAATTCAAACACTGACTTATAAAAAAGTAGAAATGGCCTTAAGAAAACAAAAGACCTGGGCTACCTTACTGTGGAGCCAATAAATAACTTACTTACTGGGCTTCTCTAGAGACCACACTCTTGGATAGAACAGTAACTCATTCATTCCTATCCTAGTAGCCCTTTGCCAGCAATTAACCCTCTTCATCGCCTTTACTTAACTCTCCTTATCTAACTTCAAAATTTTCCATTTCTATTACACACATTCTTGACGTATGCTCAAGGAGACTAAACCATTCCGCTTGTCTCGTCTCTTCTTACAACACAGGCACATATGAACAAAACAATCCTCAAATGAACAAAAATCTTGCCTTGTATTCACTGACATTCTGAATGATGGTATTCTTTACAGAATATATCTGAAATAAATTAAGTATGCCTAATAAAAGAACATTCAACAGAATGCAAGACTGCAGTATGTCTCCCTTCTTCATAAGTGTATTTCATAAATGAAATTTATAAGAAATTCATAATATAGTATAATCCATACAAACCTTATCCAAAGGATACCTTGAAGTTTGCTAGGTATCAAAACTGCTTTAAATATCTAAGCTTGATTGTATCTCAAAGATATTTTTTAAACAACTCTTCAACTCATTCTCTATAATAAAAAAAAATAGTGGCATCAATCCAACAGTGACTGACAAAGTTAATTCAGTTAAAAGCCCACCAGTTAAACAAAGGTGCAGTCTAATCCAACAACACGACTGTGCCATAACTAACCAAAACGCTCCTGCTAAAACAAAACCTATTAAACTGTGGAAAGAAATCTACCTAGAATTCCAAAGTGTTTTTTAACCTTACTAGAGAAATCAATCACACAGTAGATATGACTAAGCACTTACATATTAAAAGAGTTTAAAAAACAGAATGAAGACATTTTGATAGATAGATTTTTAAAGCTGCATTACCTACCAAGTGCTCCCAACACTCTCCAGTGCTTTGAGAGGCAGCATTTTAATGAACCAACTATATGCATCCCATAGGTTCAACCCACAGTTCCTGATTTCTATGACACAGATTGTCATTAACCTACCAAGATCACCAGGAATGCAGCACCAGTGTAACCACACTAAATAAACCTTTCATCTGCTTTGAGCAAAACAAAAACATTGTAAAACTGGTATGGCAAGTTATACAACTTAGCACTATTATACCTTAGTTTCAGATGAGACCGCCTGACTAATCAGCATACCTGAGACATGCAGAAAAGGTGAACACGCAACTTGCACTGAACTTGGAAAAAGGAGAACTAATCAATTCAAGCAATTCTTCACAAAATAACGTACTGTGAGATTATGTAGACCATCTAACGAATACAATTCTAGATAAATTCTTACAGATTACATATAACTGCTATTTTCTGATGCAAAAAAGACCTTGATTTTTCACTTATAAAGGTCTTCACTGAGTTCTTCTACAAGACAATTTGTATGCTGCTAAAGGGTCGCTATGAGTCGGAATCGACTCAACAGCAGTTTGGTGTTTTTTTTTTTTTTTATACTGTAAGTTCTTGACATTCCTGGATACAATTTATCTTGGCTTCTCCAAGTTTTCTTTGTAGACATCCTTTGTAAACTTGATTCTTTGAATAAATTCCTTAAATAAATTTCCTTAAATAAAATTCTAACCTAAAAAAATGGTTTCTAGAGTATCAGACTTGTCTTTATTATAAGAACTTTGTTCATTATCAGTGATTAAACACAAAGCAATCAAGACCCACTTACAAAAAGAGATATTTAAAAAAAAAATCCAAGACCAAATACACAAATATTAATCTCTGTACATGAATATGTACATACTTTTGAAATATTTTTTCATAAATAAAACATAATTTTAAATTTGCATTTCCCTGATAACAAGATGCTCTACCGAGATAAATAAAATTTAAAGGACAGAAACAAATTAATAGAACTGACAATACCGATAATTAACGAGGACACGGAGCAAGCAGAACTCCCCTACGTTGCTGATGGGAGTGTCAATTGGTAGAGTCACATGGAAAGCTGTGTGGCAGTACCTAGTAAAACTCAACATATATTATTCCCAACACTCAGCCATTATACTCTTCGGTAGATACTCAAGACAAGTGAGTGTTTTATGTCCACTAAAAACATGTATAAAAACGATCACCGCAGTTTTATTCATAATAGTCAAAACTAGAAACGATCCAAATGTCCATCAACAGGACAAATAAGTAAATTTAAATATATTCATACACAAGGATATGACACAGCAATGAAAAAGAACAAACGCTACACGCTACGACATGAATGAAACAGGTATCATGGTGAGCAAAGAAGCCTGACAAACAAAAGAGTACTTCCTATATCATTCCATTTTCATGAAGTTCAATAACGGGCAAAACTAAGCTATGGGGCACACAGGTCTACATATGGGGATAGAGGTCAGAATACAGGCAGTCCTTAGGTTAGGAACGATTTCCGTTACTAACTCTGTCTTTAAGTCGAATTTGTATGTAAGTCGAACAGGTACATATGGTTCTTATTTAGCGTCAGTTAGTCAAATGTTTGTCTCTGTATATAGTATCTATTTCACCTTTCTATGCATATAAAACACTTAAGAAACACTCCAGACACACTAAAACATCTTTAACACAGTAATACAGTGATAACAATGATGATATTTTGATGTGTGTCGCAAAGTAGCACCCATTTGTTACTACAAACCACTGTATGCACCTGGAATTTTTAATATAATAGGCTTTATAGGGGTTGGTTCATAACTACAGGTTGTACATAAGTCAGATGTTCGTAACCTGGGGACTGCCTGTAGTGTCATCTTTGGGGGGACACTAATAAGAGGAGGCACGATGGAACCTTCCGGGGTGCTGGAAATGTTCTACATATTGATGTGGGTGGTATGTACAGATGTATGCATATTTATACGTGTATAAAAACTCACTTGAGTCATATGCTAGTTTATCATTTACCAGCTCCGTGACCTTGAGAAAGTTATTTAACCTTGCTAAGCCCAAATTTCCTCCTCTAGAAGATGGGAGTAATGTCTTTGACACAGGATTGATATTAAGATTATGTTGTTGTTAGGTGTTATCTAGTCAGTTCCGGCTCATAGTGACCCTACAAGACAGACGAGAACTGCCCCACAGGGTTTCCAACTGCCCCACAGGGTTTCCAAGGAGTGACTAGTGGATTCGAACTGCCCACTTTTTGGTTTGCTGCCGAGCTCTTAACCACTGAGCCACCAGGGCTCCACTAAGACCATAAGATATTCAATAAGTGGCTCTTCTTCTTCTTATTACCTTATTTCTTACCAGATGTATCAAACGAGGAAGATGGTGAAAGGGTCTGTGAATGTCAACAGTAAAAACAGTAACTGACAGCGGGAGAAAAGCAGATACAAGATATTACAATTTGGATCAGTGTGATGCCGTAAGTACAGGAGCAAAAATCTAAACATAACACAAATTCATATGCATAATATTTGCTGAGTCATCAAGAAAAGGATAAGTTATATTTATACAATCTTAAAAAGTGTGATGTGTGCAATACACTTCAGAAAAGATTTCCAATTAAAGTGATTAAATAATAGCAATTTCTCACACCTAAGGGTTGGTTTGGAGCCCTGGTGGTGCACTGGTTAAGAGCGCAGGATACTAACCGAAAGGTTGGCAGTTTGAATCCACCAGCCACTCCTTGGAAACCCTATGGGGCAGTTCTACTCTGTCCTATAGGGTCGCTATGGGTCAGAATTGACTAGAGGGCAACTGGTTTTTTTTTAAGGGTTGGTTATCTTCAGTTATCAGAAAAAGGCAGTAATACAAAGAAACAGATAAGAAATACAGTAAAGGGAAAAAAAATTTCAATACTTTTCTCCTAAATGAAAATTTTAATTAGCTGATTTGTTTTAAAGCCTCTGATACTCCCATGTACTAAAGAACAATCAGCACAGAAAAAAGCTAACACCAAGGAGTGTTTGTATGTATTTACATTCTGAACTGCCTATAACAGTATACAAAAAATCAAACCCAAACCCACTGCCATGAGTTGATTTTGACTCACAGTGACCCTAGAAGACAGAGAAGAACTACGTCTTAGGGTTTCCAATGAGCGGCTGGCGGATTCGAACTGCCAACCTTTTGGTTAGCAGCTGAGCTCTTAACCATGGTGCCAACAGGGCTCCTACACCAGTACAGCTTTTAATTGTAAAAATCAAATTCTATTTATACACTATTATATCAAAGATAATAGATTTTTAACATATTGTTTACTGAACTTTCGTATACAATAACGATCAAAAGAAAAATTATACTTTTACTAAGCAGTGTAATGTCAGAATGCTAAATTAAAAAGTTTCAAGTAACCTAACATAAGAGTTTAACATATAAGTAACCACAAAAGGTAACTGCAATCTTTGAATTTTTACTATAGTTAATGAGTGTTTGAATTTATTCTAATTCAAAATTCTAGCTTGCTCAAATATAAAATGCTATTAAAAATTATTAACTATTACATTTGTACAAATTATACAGACATATTTGCTTTTTTATAGTTCTCTTCTGTTCACTGAGAATGTATAGCCAAAAGCAACTGAGATACTCCTTCCTGAAGCTAAAATATCTAAAATTACTACTCTGTGTTAAGTTGTGACAATTAAAAAAAAAAAGGAAACACTTTGATATTATGCCTATTTTCTTTTCTGGTATTAAACTGCATACTACTGGAAAAATCAAAGTAAAAACCAGACTTAAGCCAAGTTCACTTTAAGCTGAGGTTTAATTTTCATTTAAGCTTTATCTTTAAATGCTTACATTTAAATTTCCTAAAACAAAATGTCCTATTCAGTGAAGCACAATCAGATATATTGTAAACAAAATCATTAAGATGTTACAGTCCTGGTAAAGGCAGTGTGAATAAATGCAGTTTTCACACACACAGACAAACTATAGTTTTAAACAATAAGCCATGACTTATATCATGACATGAATAGAGATGCTAAATATGATTGAATGCGAAGTTCCCTTAAGGTCACAGGATTTTCTTTTACATTCATGTTACATAATCAAGGTTTCAAAAAAACAATACTTATGAAAAGCAGTCATTATGTGATGCTGGAAGCCATTTTAAGACTTGTCTTGTAAATCAAATATTTTATTAAAAACACAAGTAACTGGAATTAGAAGGGGCTGGAAAAGAAGCCAACTTAGCTTGCAGTTTATACTGTAGCTAAAACTGGACAAAAGAAAATACTTCAAATTTTTAAATCTCTAGGAATTGGAAAAAAAAAAAGGCAAGCCCATTTTTCTCATTTAAAAAACACAACTACACTTGTGTTTGAGAAGAAACCATCTGTGCCAAGTTTAGCCCACTGTGAATTAAAACGGCTGCATCTGTAAGCAAGTATAAAACTATGCTTAATGATTAAAAGAGAACCACCTACACTTGAGTACGTTGCACAATACCATGATATATTACAATATGGTTATACTTCTGGGTCTATTTCAAGAACACTGGTCTGACTAAAAAAAATTTTCCCAACTTATTCCTAATTCTAGATAGAAAAATAAGTCTTTTTCTGTGGAAGTTGACAGAAAATTTTTGTCAAAATCCCCTTTGACTATTTCAGTCATAACTTTTGTTTCTGTTACTTCCGGGGAGTAGAGTTTTTTTTTTTTTTTTTTAAAGAAACTTTATAATGCATATGAGTGTATGCAGCATATAATGTATTGCAAATTAAGTAGATTTTTAAGAGCAAATTTTGAGGCTTATATCAAATTAATTCGTTCTATTTTAAATAACTCACGTGACCAATGCTTGCTTTCTTGCCCTGACGACTCTAAGCATATCTAATCTTTAAAGATCAAACTCCAGGAGTCCATAGTTCAGAGAAACACATGCTTTACAAAAGCTGGGAAGTGGTTGCTCAATACAGAGAGGGGAAAAGAACTGAGATCATCATGTATTGGAGGCGGGGAATAAATTATTTTATCCAGAGTGTAGTGCCTGCGTCTTTACATTCATTACCTCAAGTCATCAGAGAAACACTGAAAGGTAAATATTATTACCTTGATTTTACAAAGAAACTGAGAGAATTAAGTTTGAACAACTTGCCTCAAGTCTCACTGCTAGTGGCAAAGCAAGGTTTCAAACCTGAGATTTTGTATTCCAAATTCCATTCCCTTTTCGCTCTACCTTTTATCTACCCCAGTATTTGGCTGCAGTATTTATTGTACAGCTGGCTGGACCTGTCTTTTCCAACTGCTTGCAGGGAATTTTCAAAGACTGATATTTTACATGGCAGATGTGAATGGATTAAAAGAACCGAAGTAAATTGAAATAAGTCAAGAATAATCAGAAGCATGCACTACAACAGTGAAGGGAATCTCGAGGTGCCGGTACTGTAAAACCATCTCTTCAGCACCACACTGCTATCTGGAGTTAGAAGGGTTTCCTGCCCTGGGGTGCTTTTCCAAG